TTGCCATGTTGGCCAGGCTGGTCTCGAATTCCTGACCTCAAGTGAGTCGCCTGCCTCGGCCTCCCAAAGTTCTGGGGTTACAGGCCTGAACCACTGCGCCTGGCCAAAACCAATAGCATTTCTAAAAAACATCCTGATATTCAAGCCAAAGTGTTCTGCCAATGAACATTCTTCTAAGGGTGGCTAACCCAAGGAAAAAAAAAAAAACTATTTGAACAGATGAGTTATTTCCTATACATTGTTTTGGTTTTGCATTTATCTAAGATATTGACCCTGTACCTGAAACGATCTTTCAGAAGCAGGCCTGCGTGTAAGGCTGAGTACTTGGGATCGGCCAAGCTTGTGAACAGTGCCCAGGCCTAAAAGTGACCAGTTCCAGCCCGGAGCCACGGTTTTCCTGAAGGGCAAGCCCAGGCTGAAGTGTACCCAAAGGGGTTTCTCCTGGGGAGCCCAGGGACTCAAACACAAGAAAGATTCTCATCTTTAAATGCTCTCCAGAGTCTTCTGGAGGATTTGGGAAGGATCCAGAAAAGTCTTGCGATGCGATACACAGCAACCAGATCCAAAAAAGACATCTGCTGCATCGTCCCCACGCGTGGGTAACGTGGAGTCAGTGCACGCGCAGTTCACGAAGCAAGCGGGCAGCTCACCCCAGGCCTGCCATCCACTCCCCGCAGAGAGCACTGCTGTGGGGGCAGTGGGGACCACCTGCATGGCACTTTGTGTTTTCTTTTTGAGATGGAGTTTTGCTCTTGTCGCCCAGGCTGGAGTGCAATGGCATGATCTCAGCTCACTGCAACCTCCACCACCCGGGTTCAAGCGACTCTCCTGCCTCTCAAGTAGCTGGGATTACAGGCATGAGTCACCACATCAGGCTAATTTTGTATTTTTAGTAGAGACAGGGTTTCACCGTGTTAGCCAGGATGGTCTTGATTTCCTGACCTCGTGATCCACGCGCCTCAGCCTCCCAAAGTGCTGGGATTACAGGCTTGAGCCACCGCGCCCGGCCCCTTATGGTTTATTTTAAATGTTCAATTTTTAATCCATCCTAACCTTATTTTGTTGTGTTTAATGACATGGGAAGATGTTCAGGTTATGTGACGTGAACTCCATCACCCACAAAAAAGCAAAGCACAAAATGTGAGTCTGAGTGGGCTGACTAAAGCGACCTATCAGAAAAGACTGGAAAACAGACAGAGCGACTAAGTAAGCACGCGTCCCCGAGTGGAGCGAACGCGCATCCCCGAGTGGGGGATTAGGGAGGGTTTATTTTCTCCCATCTTCATCGGATTTCTCTAAATGTTCTACAAACAAATGTGCAATACTTTCGTAAATGACGAGTTAATGGATGCAGCACACCAACATGGCACATGTATACATATGTAACAAATCTGCACGTTGTGCACGTGTACTCTAGAACTTAAAGTATAATAAAAAACTTTAAAAAAAATTTTGTTATCAGGGAGAAAGGTGGGGTGTTTTTTAAATTCAAAACTTAATCTCTCTTTAAAGTAGGGATAGGAACGCCGGTTGATACTTATTTCAATGAGACTTTGGTTGTGTAAAACTATCATATGTGAAGCTGATATCACGGTGCCATTTTAGGAAGAAAGGCACTGAGTGAATTGTTGTTTACTACTAAAATGCACAGAAAATTTCACTTTTTACCAAATGAAGTCTAATTGAAAGTGTAACTCTTCTTTCTTTTTAAATAATGCATTACGTTCAAAGGTTGAAAAAACGACAGGGCTGTCTGATACGTGAGTTTGCTACACTGCAAAGGATAAGCAGGTGGGTTCCTCTTTTACCAAAAAACCACAGCACTCAGCAAAACACAGGATCCTTATACTACCAAGTACAATTATTCCAGCATTGAGATTGTGATCCCTGTCCCTGGCTACCCACATTGCCTGTATGCGGCCATTTCGGTAATCCACAAGAGGTTTTGCGGTGGTTTTCAGAAATAATGAAGTTCACAAGAATTCCTGGCATTTTGGCCAGTAAAATTTAACAAGCGTAACACACAAGGGATTATGTACACACACTGCTCTGCCTGCTCCTGGAAATGACTGACAAGAGCTGGACAGTATCAGAACCAGTTCCGCCAAGTAGGATGTTTTCAGCTGGGGGTGTCCTCAGACATCGTGGGCTGCATGCAGGGCCCACCTGCTGGAAGGGAGGCCCCATGGGCCCTGGGAGAGCTCGGCTCGCAAAGCCCCTCCAGCGGCATCATCGAGGCTGGTCCTTTGTTGCAGGGAGAGGGGAGAGGAGAGAGGAGAAAGGGTCGCAGGAAACAAAGGGATAGAAAGAGACAGGGAACAGACAAAACAGGAACACACCACAGGCTGTGGAGACGGAATCTGCATTGCCTTCACTTCGGTTACCCTGAAATGTGATGCCTGGGCGTATCATGTAGATAGCTAAAGGAATGAAAACATAAACCCCAAAAATGCTGATCATGCAGGGCCACATGGCTTGCAGAACTCCTTCATTCACGTGTCTACAAACACCTATTATTCGGCTGTAATGGAAAGCATTCTGCTGTAGGGCCCAATCTCGTCTGCCCATCTAGGCCGGAGATGTGGAACAACAAGGTACCCAACGAGGCTTCAGACGGAGAGCACCTCCTGCTAATGTGGGGTCGTGGATCAAGCGGTCAGCACGAGGGCCGGAGCATCACATGACAGAGACTGGTCGTCCCAGATCCAGGGCCTGGACACTGTTTGTGACTTACACAATTCCTAGGGCTTGTTTTGTGAACACCACAGGGACAAGATCACTTTTCTGTTTACTCAGACTGTGGCAGGCCTCCATGAAGAAGAGGCGCTATTATAAATGAATATTATAAGTGACGATGAACATGAGGTGGGGGTGAGATGTATCCAGAACACATGGCTTTTAATCACTGAGGGCTACGATGTGCTTCACGGCTTGACGGGGAGAGAATGTGCCTGTGTCTGCGTTTTTGCTCCTTCCTTTTAGTCACGAAGTTCTTAGTATTTGTCGCAGCTCTTTCACATATATTATTGCATCTGCTTTTTACCATCCCCATGAGGTTTCAGCTCCATGTTAAAAGAGCTTTGACGATGAGGACAGAGGGCTCAAGGATGACACGGACTGCCCTGCAGCTGGGCCAGCACATGCGTGCATAGTGCCGGGCACTGCCCCTGATTTTAGGGGCACCATTATCCCATCTGGATCCTCCTGAATCTCCACCAAACACCTACGACGCCAACACGAAAGCTGCCGAGCCTTCTCCAGACAGCACTCCCAGTGCTTTTGGCATGAAATACACACAGAGGTGTATTCACTCACAGCCACCTCGCACAGCGGTGATGGTACAGAACGCACCGTCATCTGACTCTGGCAAAGTTTGTTTTCAACATCTCAAATTTCTCAAATGGAAGGTACTAACGACTGCTAGTTTTATTAATAACCCATTCTACCCCAGGAACATTAAACCCAGAGTACAAATCAAATTCTCATATACTTAATAATATAAACTTTTCAATAAAATCTGCAATTTCTAGAGGAATGAGGGTTTTTTTATGACAGTAAATTACATGCAGCATAAAATTTGCCATGCTAACCGTTTTAAATGTACAGTTCAGCGACGTTAGGTATATTTACAAGCTGCACAACAATCACCAAGCATCACCAAGGAGTGGGTGTTTTTTAAAGAAGAGGGAAGAGGGAAGGGAAAATCACGTTTAAAACCATTTCCTGGGCTCTGGGCTCTGGGCTCTAGGCTCCATAAGCTAAAACAGCATCAGCGGTGCAACCTGCTCTCCACAGAAAATTAGTTTCCAGGTCTGCTGTGACAGGCCCACTAAGCCAGATGATGGGTCCAGGCGCGATGTGGACCTGCACCTATTCAGACCCGCATCACAAAAGGCAGATGGGATGGGGGGAGCGGCCATGTGAGCCTGGTGCTGGGAGGGCATGGGAAGGCTGTGAGGAAGGGCTGGCTCCTGTGCTTGATGGAAACACACTCTCCCTGGCCTCCGGAAAGGGGCTGGGAGGGAGGCGAGGGGGAGGCATCTGAGGCAGACCTCCGCGGAGTGAAGCGCACAGTCCTGGACTGTGGAAGGCGCCATTTGCGATGTCAGTCTGGGACTGTTGGCAGACTTGTGTTATTTTAATCAGCACCACTACCACTGGCCCTGTAAGAATGGCTGGCAGAGGATTAAAAAGGAAACAACTTTAAGTGGGAGGAAATGGCCCTTTATGCAAAAACTAAGTTCAATATTCCTATTTTCCTTTTCAAAGGGATATGTATATAGCAGAAATAGAGCAAAAAATACCAGTGTGGTTTACTAGTTTTAGCTTTTCTTTTTATAGAACCAGGTGTGGTGGCTCACATCTGTAATCCTAGCACTTTGGGAGGCTGAGGTGGGAGGATCACTTGAACCTAGGAGTTCAAGATCAGCGTGGGCAAGATGGAAAGACTCCCATCACTCCAAATTTTTTTTTAATTAGCTGGGTGTGGTGGTGCATGCCTGTAGTCCCAGCTTCTCAAGAGGCTGAGGTGGGAGGACTGCTTGAGCTCAGGAGTTTGAGACCAGCCTGGGCAAGATGGCAAGATCCCTGTCTCTACAAAAAAGTTGTTTAAAATTAGCCTGGTGTAGTGCTGCGTGCCTGTAGTCCCAGCTACTC